AAGTCTTTCTCGGTATGTTATATAATGAGCTCGGTGGAGAATCCTCCAGACTGCAGAACTGAATCGCTGCAGTTCTTTTAATCCTTGCTGATTCTAATTGAGCTTTTATATCTGGGACAGACTTACTTTTTCGCAGATCTCTTTTCTTACTTTCGCTCTCTGGTGTCGCGGTTTGATGAGCGTAATCCTCCCAGTACGTGAATGAATCGTTGTAGCCTGCATATTTGGGTGTTGGTGGTAATACCTTCGGTGTTCCTTTAGAGTTTTTCGGCGTGATGTTACCATGAGGTGATTTATTACTCAATGTATCTGATATTTTACATGAGTTTTGAGGAATTGGCGAAGAATTCTTATAATTCTGTGGAGTCCCATTTGCTCTTTTCAATGTTGCAATGCATAAAGGCGAACGATTCGATCTCTGTGCATTTTCAGAAATGTTCTTAGGTGTTTTACGGTAGACTTTCTTAACGTGCTTCTGATTCTCTTGACGAGGGGTACGAATGTCGACCGCCTTCCTTTCTTTTGGAGAGAGATTGGAAACACGTAGAGTGGCTGGGCTCCTGGGGATAATGGTCTTCAAAACATCAGTGGGTGACTTGAACATCTCTGGGGGCATAGACTCATCCATGATCATAGAATTGTTTTTAATGTACTTACAAGCCTTTCGAAATTCTGTCGTCAAACGACTCAAATTTCCAAGACTTTTCTCTTCTGAGTGGTGACAGATGTTCAGATCAGTCTCTTCGATGATCGTCATCAATTTATCTGTAAATTCTTCTCGATTCTTAGCAAAGGATATTGCCAATCCCCTCATGAGATTAGCACTTTTAGTTGTGGTGCTCGGAGGTGACGAGTCGATTTCTCTAGAGAGCTTTTCAAGAAAAAACCGCATGTAGGAAGTCTTCTCTTGTTTTTCTGATATTATTGGTGGGCTCTCCGAAAGTACATCGGCTTCTGGAATAGAATCAATATTATGATTTGTATCTCTTGATTTCGAGTCGTTCAATTCCATGTCTAAACCTCCTGTGGGCGATTCACTGTTTGCAGTCGCGGAATTGGTTTCAATATTGCGGTGGGCGATGACTGAGTCGTCTAAGGCTTCTGCACTGTAATAGGAATCTGAAGAAATCTGTGATGGACCTGCCCAAGCAGTCTCCACATTTCCAGCTAAGATGGTGGAATGAAATGTGTCATTTGGGGCCAATTCACGATCTGGACGATTTTTCCTCTGTTCACGCTTCTCTTGTCTCATTCTATATCTCGTCAAGACCTCACAGTTGCAATTCCTGTACTTAGAGGCACAGCCTTTCACGTGTTCTCGACCATTAGTGAAGGTGCGGGTGTTTTCAGATGAATCAATACTGGTGAAAGTTGCTGATGAAACACTAGTATCTGTAGTTAACTCAGAATCCAGTTCTGTTGCATTTTTGTGGGACCCTAATGAAAACAGAATTGAATTCAATAAAAATTTTATATGGGATATCAAATTATCGAATTCTTGTCAATTAGATAAATCAAGGATAATGCAGTTGCTGAAAATATTAGAACATCTCGAAGATATCAAGGATTTTCACAAAATTAGATTTGTGATTTTATAAGTACAGTAGATCATCAAAGCCTCTTCTTTCATAATTAATTATTATTTCTTAATTATTTAAATTTTTACATGGAAATTGGATCCATTATGTATTTAATTTTATTCAACAAGTAAATTCGAATCGTGATTCCGATGACAAACATGGGAACAGAATATCATTCCGTTTCAACGGTTTGATTCGGATCGGGTAATAACGATTTTTTATAATAAAGTAAAGAATTTTAATTTTGCATTTAATCTGCATTTAATCTGCAGATGAACTAATGACT